CCACTAGAGGGCAAAATCGTAAACGCACCCTTTATTTTTCAGAAAATTATCGACTCCCCTTTTAAACTATTTGTAAAGTGTCGGCCTCCACTACTGATGAAGGCACTCATTCAATATGCCAACCAACCTGTTAGAAAATACAACTGTCTTCATTACTGAAGCCTAGTTTGTCCTTTACAAATTTTAAATGTATGTTATCTAGTTCCATTATTTTCGAAATGTACAACATAGAAATCTGAATCTGCAAAGACTTTTGATATATTATTGTTGCGTCAGTGAGGTCACGTGACTAGTGTCACGCCACGTTTCTAGAGCTATCCTGTTCCTTTGGGAGTGCTCTAGCATTTGCTAGATTGGGGGTGGCCTGGTATATATAAGATGGTCACGGCGTGACGTGACAATGTGTGTGTGTAGGTATTGAGTAATTGAACTGCAGTCAGAAAGTATTGTTGACGTTAACGTTCGTTGTTATAGCGTTTGTTATAGAGCGACTGTTGAAAATAAGTGTATCGGTAAAGTTATATTCAGAAAGTATAAACCAGTTTTATTAAGAAAGGACTTGTGTCGCTAAAGTTTCGTGGGAACGAAGTTACGGAAAATTAATTAACGACTGGAGGCGTAACATTATGTTGATGAGGTGTTACGGCGTTCGTGTTGTCTCCCTGTCTTTGTCTGTACTATAAATGTTTTTGAACTCTAATGACGAGGCAAAACTCCATTTTCTGAAGAATGTGACACATATATAGAAAGAAATCGACTATGTTTTGATAAAAAGACTTCTCTGTTTATAAATCAGCCAATCACAGCCAAGTGTTTAGCATACCAAACTGTGAATTTGAAGGTCCTTGGCTCGCCTCCTGTCAACATAATCACGCCTATCTCTTTGAGGCTGCTGATGCGTTATAAAAGTAACGATCACATCCAACTTTCTGATGACTAGCCCTATAGTTGACAGTAGGTGCTGTTCACTAACTGTCTTCCCTCTAGTCTGTTAGGAACAGTTAACACAGATAGTGAATGTGTAGTTTTGCAGGAATATTTAAAACAAACAACTTCTATATATATAGCATATATCTAAATTTATAACAATCTATTGTCAAAATTAAGTATGTATTTGACACGTTCAGTTTGATTGCTTGCTTTATTGTTAAGTGTAAAGCTAGATTTTGCGCTATATACACTGTGCCTATCATGTATATCGGAACCCGATTTTTAGTGTTATAAGGGGTCTGGGGCGATATATTCACTATATAAGTATTACCTATATTCTTGAAGTTCAAGTATTAACTTCTATAACATTGAAATGTCATATATATGGTCGTTCGCAAGGGGGCCCTTGCCCCTTTGGATTATTAATTTTCCGTTTCTCAAATTACACATTTTTCGAATTCGATGACGAGGAACCCACTTTGAGACTAATAATGGCTGGAGACGGCTTGAATGGGTAATGAAGAAAAACTTTAATATAACAGCAAATGTGCACCTTTTATATTATAATTACACCTTTAATATCATACCTTCTTGCCCCCTAATATATCCTGCGGAAGCCTAGCATATATATTATTATTATGATCGAAGAGTCTGTTAAATACTTGTACTATATGAATATATTTATTATGCACCTAAATAAAACGTAAACATTTTTGTGTAGAATATTTAAAGAATAAAGTTCTTAAAAATTCTTCAAACGTTTTTTTTCTTGTATTTTAAATTCATCAACAGATGGCAGTACACTTTACTTTCAAAGCTGTGAACCCCGTTTGAGATAAAGACTCTCTTTACTAGGCCAACGCGAACGGATAAGGTGAGGTGTAGAAAGCTAATAAAATACATTATATTGTCAGACATATATATGTATATTAATTTTGTAATAATAAAATCAGTATATTTTGGTGTAAATCTGTAACTTTTTTTTCAAGGAAAATATAGCTTCCTGTTCTCACTAACAAGTTAATTATTGAAAGTTGGATTGAGCATGTGGTTCATAGCATATTAGGCTAAACTTTGTATAGGTTTAGGCTTATCTATAATTGATGGTGGTAGCATACTAAAACCATCCAATTTGTTAATAAATACTAATTACTATGTAATATTTAGTCTAAAATTCACATCAAGTGTCTCTTTGTTATGTTTACATTGGGCATCTAAGTGGAAACAAGGTTGTTGTTTTTAGGCGAGTCTCGTTATTCACTTAGAATTTTATAATTAACTGTAAAATAAGTTATGTTTAATTCAGAAAAGGTTTTAGAATATAGGGTTTGTAAAATTCAACGTTAGGGTTAACAGTTTTTCATTATTTTACTCGAAAAAAAGTAATTGAAATACAAATCAATATTTTAAACTTTGATGGTGTTATTTGTTCAAGTAAAAAATGCAAAACACCATACTGGAAAAAGTTAAAATAGTTCATTTTTAGCTTTAGCATTTTTCAGTATGTTGTATGACATGAAGGTTTGAGTTTCAATACACAATGTAGGTGTCCATAGTAAGTGTAAGACAAACCTTGACAGATATATATATATATATATATACAAAAAACCAGCAAGTAAAACATCCCTTAATGTTTTTTAATTATTCCTAGAATTGGTTAACAATATAATATATTATGAAACAAAGGTGTGTCTTGTGTTAAAAGAATTCTTACCCTAATTCTGATGTACTGTGACATGAAAATGAGGAAAAAATTACTCTTCAATTTAATCCATTTGATACAGTAACAGTTTTTGTCAAGTAACTTGCTAATATAAATATCTCGGTCAGTTTCTTTTCTAGCTAACTTTGAAGAGCCCTGGTATTGTGAAGGCCTCATTGTCACCGGATATAGCTAAAACAGTGTGGTTAACATATATTCAGTTGGAAGTGCTTATTAATGAAAGTTAACTATGGTATCATTGATAGCAATTGAAATCTTGGCTTTTCATGTGGACTAGGTGCTGTAGAAGTATTTTGTGGAATTGCTCAAAAAATATGTCAAAGACTCAAACGGTTTTTGAACTTGCAGGAATAAATTAACAGTACTTAAATGCTGTAACAAAGGTTTTTCTTCTCTTGAGTATATGAAAATATTTATCAATGGAACAACCAGATTTAAATATTCAAAAAGTAACATGTTCTATTATTTTGACCTTGTATGTCATTTGAAATTCTTTGCAAAGTAATATAGTGAATAGAGGTGGTTTGTAAGAAACATTGGCAATGATAATGGCTGGAGACAGCTTGAATGGGTAATGAAGAAAAACTTTAAGTTTAACATAACAGCAAATGTACAACGTTTCGACAAGGTTTTGTCATCATCAGTTGTACATTTGCTGTTATGTTAAACTTATATTAAAGTTTTTCTTCATTACCCATTCAAGCCGTCTCCAGCCATTATTAGTCTCAAAGTGGGTTCCTCGTCATCGAATTCGAAATTGGCAATGATATCCTGAGAATCTTCCATTTGTGTTGACATTGAGTTGATCCATAAAATTATTTGTTATACCAATTTTGTTTTTTATGAAAACAATTTGGAATGATTGTAATCTCCAATCTTTGGTCTAACTGTGTCAGAAATAGCAACACATTCAGAACTTCCCAACACTGAGCCTGCCTAGCACTCATGATTACCTGTCATTTCTGTGGCAGTGCTGCTACACTGAATTTGAGAAGCAGTTAGTCGAAATTGCCACGGATATTCAAGTAAATCCAATCTTCGAAAAATTTTGAATCTGCTTGTCCCAGTAAAGTTAACTCTTTCCAGATTGGTCAGGGTTGAAAGGTCATGTTTGTTGACTTGCATTCAAAATTTTATTGAACTGCTATTTTATGAATTTATGTCAATACATTTGGTATCAAACTATAATTATATTTCAAATTTTAGTATTATGCCTTACTCAATTTTTTAATTTAAAAGTAAATTAAAAAAAAAGTTAAACATCAATTTTTGTGTGTCACGTGGTATGTTGAATGCAGAACTGGTTCAAATTAGTAACTGAAATTACTGATATTGACAAGCTGGAATATGAAATAAGAACCATTTTTCTTTTCAGTTTGCTAAAAAATTGGTCATGTAATAAATCAAACACAGTAGCACCCTACCCACCTCTTTCCATTTTTGAAAACGTTCCCTTATATACACTTCTGTATATGACATGAATAACCAATTAAAAGCTCAGAATTTCCCCCTTGTAGCTTTCTTAGCCATTTTCAAGTGTTACAATGCCATCTTGTTTTTTAAACTAAAATTTCACATTGTTTAGACTGAAATACAGCTTAGTTACTAAGCTTAATAAATTATAGTGAAATTCTTTGGCATTGAAATAGTAATTATGATTTTTTGGTTATTCAACTGTATATATGTAAAACCTTAAAAAATTATTTTTCGTTTTAATATCCTCCATGTGCAAAAATTTAAAAGGCCTAGCAATCAAGTACAAAGGTCAAACTAGATTGGTTGCTTTACTTCTTTATTTAGTGTTCTATGTTTTAAGAAAAATAAGTTT